TCCCAGTGGTTTGCCTCGCCAGTGATAGCCGATGGTCCACACTTCACACCTATTATTACGGGTTTCACACCGGCTCAGAGCTTCTCAGTGCTTGTGACTGACACTCCAGTATTTAGGAGTCTTGGTGCGACATTCAGCGAGTTGACAGGGCAGCCTACACCGCCAGAGCTACGTGTCCCTACTCCCACTACAGTTGCTCCAGTTACTAGGACTACAGAGACGCTCCCTTCATCTGTTGCATCATCAGACCCAGCTGCTACAGTGATACCTGCCGAGTCACAGGCTGCGCTAGTTCTAGAGCAGACCCAGACTGCTTCAGCTTCACTTCCAGCGACAGAGGGTCAGACAGCTTAGAGCTCTGGATCAGAGGATGATGCTACATAGTTTCAGATCACTCACCGCACCTCAGCGCTCGACTCGTCTGCTCCTGCCCCACCGACTGACCCTTAGGTTTTGGTGCTTGATGCCAAAGGGGGAGAGGGATCGAGTATGTTAGATCTAGGAGGAGCTTAGCTTAAGATTTATTACTTTTGGTTTTTATGTGTGATACATTATTATGCATTCATGTTTATTTTCATGCATTAAACTATATACGTATGAGTGTGATACTTATGTGATATGTGACATGTGTACTCTCTACTTGATCTATTTATATGTCATGTCACTTGGTTATGCTCATTTGCTTTGCTTCCGTGTTTTACTCTGATTCAAATGAGCTTTATTTCTTGTACTCATGCTTATTTCATATCTATTGAGTACACCATGTTGGCTTGGGTCATATAAGCATGTCCAATTCCTTTGCTCTTATTGTTAAAAGCTTATATGAACCAAGCATGGTGAAAACCTTATCTCTTTTACATACTCGAGGTTGTATTGTCATCAATCACCAAAAAGAGGGAGATTGAAAGCATCTAGGCCTCTAGTTAGGTTTCGGTGATTAATGATAATACGAGATTACTATGACTAACGTGTGCATCCACCCTCCTCATTAGGCTTGTTGTGGTCAAGTAAGAGTTCGTGCTTGTTACCCTTGGTAATCGCCATCACCTAGACGGCTTGGTGGTGATCGGGAGTTTGGTGATCATCCGGCGGAGCTTGTGGATGACCCAACTCAAGTTGTGAGCGGCTATGGGCGATTCACCGTGACGGAGTATCGAAGAATCAGCCCGTAGAGAGCACTTGATCCTTGCGCGGATCAAGGGGGAGCTACACCCTTACGCGGGTGCTCCAACGAGGACTAGTGAGGAGTGGCGACTCACCGATACCTCGGTAAAATATCACCGCGTTCCTTCTTCTCTCTTTACTTTAAGCATTTATATTTGAGCAATTCATTTCTTGTCTTTACATTATTAGAATTACCATGCTAGAGCAGTATTGAAACATAGGGTTCAAAACTTTTGTGCGGTAGAACACTAGGAACACATTCTAGGCACAAGGGGTAAAGTGGGCTAAGTGTAGGGTTTAGTTATTACAAAGAATTTTAGAATTAGCTTAATTCACCATCCCTCTTGAGCATCTTGATCCTTTCATTGGTTCTAGCTTCTCCGTGTATTGTAGCGAGGAATCGGAGATGTTTGTTGATGTGTCAAACGAGATTATATTACTAATAAAAAATTATACTGAACTGGACCATCCTAGATTAAAATCCTGGCTATGCCACTGTGCAGAGGGTATCAAGGAAAGCATAAACTCACTATGACCATATGCTGAAAATTGTGTGGTGTTGTATTTGCATGTTCACCTGGTGGACATAGTTAACCGAGCGCTAAGCAATTCTTTATACCTGAGACACGTGAAGGGTGGATCAAGCACATGATGGAAACATATTCTCGAAAAATGGATTAGTACGCCGTTTCTCCCGGCGAATACGCGCAGCACAGGGTGAAGGCAATACAAATCGATTGGCTCAAAGAAACAATAACTAAAGAGAGAGCCGTCATGGGCCGAAATCACATTTGTATGTGTCAGAAACGAAAAAATCCACATTACCTCCCTTAACTTTCGCGAAAGTTCGTTTTTTCCTCCCTGAACTCCAAAACCGAACAAAACACCTCCCTCAACTTTTAAAACCGTTCATCTTATCTCCCTGGCCCGGTTCTAAACGGTTTTGAAGGAGATTTTGTCTTTTTGTTTTTTATTTATTTCGGCTGAATTTTTAAAAAATCATAGTAAATCACAGGAAAATCATAAAATAGAAAATCTAATTTTTTTGACTCCACATGAGTAGATCTACACAGTGAATATATAATATGATATACTTTAGCACAAAGTTTTTGTTGTAGCTTTAGATTTACGCTTTTCTGTAATTAAATAGAATAATTTATAGCTGCAGTTTATATGATCTAATTGTGGTGAAATTTTTATGGTGGGCTAATTATTGTATGCTTAAACTGTAGTAAAAATTTCATACTCATTGGATCATGTATAATTTAGTTATAGATTTTATTTAGGTTTATGCTTGTTAAATATAAATAAATCTATAACTAAGCTATATATAATTCAATGAGTATAAAATTTTTACTACAGTTCGATCATACAATAATTAGCTCACCATGAAAATTTCATCACAATGTGACCATAGAAACTGCATCTATGAATTATTCCAATTAATTACAGAAAAGGATAGATCTAAAACCACAACAAAAACTCTGTACTAAAGCATACCATATTATATGTTTACTATATAGATCTACTCATGTGGAGTCCAAAAGAATTGGATTTTCCATTTTATGATTTTTCTGTGATTTACTATGATTTTTCAAAGATTTAGCCGAAATAAATAAAAAAGATAAAGATAAAACCACCTTCAAAACTGCTTATAACATAGTCAGGAAGGTAAGATGAACGTTTGTAAAAGTTGAGGGAGGTGTTTTGCCCGATTTTGGAATTCAGGGGAGGAAAAACGGACTTTCGCGAAAGTTGAGGTATGTAATGTGGACTTTTTCCGGCCAGAAACGACTAACCGGACCGAACGAACAACAGCGGAAACAAGTTTCAAGTTGGTAACAGAATGTGAAAACACTGTTCAATCCATGGACCCCATTCTTAATTTGCCTTAAACCATGACCATGCACCTTAGACAAATGCAAATTTAATATGTGCTTTCTGAATCTATTGAAACATGATGTTCCTTCCTTTTGCAAATATGTTCCTTTTGCAAATATTTCCCTGTGGTAGTATCTGTAAGAAACCTTCTTGTGCTTTTGCAGGGTGGAGTTATGGCAACTCATGATGAAGAAACTCGGAAGTTTTTCAAACATTCCTCAGTCATCTGTGTTCTGTCTCCTCGATATGCTAGCAATAAGCTGAGCATTTTCAAATAGCAGGCAAGTTTTGGGTAGGAATTTATGGTTCACTTTCTTTGTATGGGTTACATCTACGGCTCGTTTGGATAGGGGTAGGGATAAGGAATGGGATACACAAAATTATATCCTAATCATCCATTCTTTACGTTTCATTTAATCCTAGCCGTTCATCAATTTAGTAATTTAGTAATTTGGTGAGCACTTGTTAAATTTGCCCTGCAACTCGGAATTTAAGTACAAAATAACAAAATAAGTCTTAAATTCGACAAAGAAGTTCCAATAGAAAAAGTTCAAATACCATGCTAATAGTTGGAAATATGTATAAAAAACATAGACACCAAATAAATTTACAACAATTGAACTAATTTTGAGGATAAATTGGTGTATTACCAAATAAAAAATAGGTTAGGTTACTAGTGGTAGACGTACTAGTGTAGATGTAGTGCTGAGCTAGTGCGATGCTAGCTACTCCTGTCATCATATGATGCTTTTGCTAGGGGGTTATATTAGCTAGGCAGTCTGGAGGTGACATCCGTGTTGTTTCTATTATTTAACGTCACATCATCCATCCATCCATCCATAACAACAGCGAGAGGAGAGAGCACGCGAGCTAGAGTCAGAGACAGAAAGTGTGGGTACTACTACTGGCACTGGACAGGTCTGGCGCACCGTGCACCCACTGTTTGGGACTTAGGCCCCGTTAGGCTTGCTGAAACTTGGCTGAATTGGCTGAAAAATACTGTTTTAACTGAATTATTGTGAGAGAAAAATACTGTTCCAGTTGAAAAAGCAAGCTGAATAATGCAGATTATAAGGTAAGCCGAACGGGACCTTTACTGGCACCGTTCGCTTTTCATGTCAGGTCCTGAGCTCGCCGTACATGCAGGCACGGCAGCCGATACAAGCGGGCAGGCGTACCTGGCTCTGCCGTGCCACCGATCTTGGCGCGGCTCTGTCGTGCCCTGATCTGTGGCGCAGCAGGCCCTGCCACATCACCGGTCAGCCTCCCCGTCTTCGTCATGTCATCCTCCCGCCGTGTCACCATGCACCGCGCCATGGCAATAGGCACGACCAAAAGTGTTAGTTTTGAAAATAAAAAAAACAAACAGTGTTAGATTTAAAATTAGTTTTAAAAAGTGTTAAAAAAATTCTAACAGGTATCACGTCTAAATCAACAAGCAAGCTAACGACTGGAACAAACCGCCAGGTAAAACTACTGGCCAAAGACACATGCCTAACTAAGAAGGACAGCTTCTTCCCTACAGCAAACAACTTCTTCAGCTCTGCCCAAACTGATCCATCAGTTTATGACGAATTTTATTAAGACAAATGTTACCAGTGACGGCACATATTTTATGATGAACTTTACATAATACTCCCTTCGAACAAAAGTATAGGTCGTTTGGGATGCAGGGGGGAGTAATCTAGGTGCATAGCATAAACCAAAATGACGTATAATTTAAGACGGACGGAGTAACAGATATGGTTTTATTGGCGTGACAAGACACCGCAGACTATGGTTTTTAACAAAGTTATACAAACGAATTGTATACAATAATTTATTTCCGGTAAGATGATTAGATGAAGTCCATGTTTTCCCTCCATCATCACCGAAGATGAATGCCCACCATGGGTGGTATGATCTCCAACCAGCAATACCGATAAAATGAGTTGACATTGGCATTCTGCAGTGGCTCATGCTGTGCTCGCAAAGGTGAATCCAGTCCCTTGCAATGCATCCTCGACAATCTTGTCTAGCCTCTGCGCCATCTCCGGCGTCATGTGATTGCTCCAGTCCCCAGCAACTCCCATCCTGAAGAAGCTTTCGTTCTTGACCCCCATCCTAGTGCTTCCATTTCTGTTCACCTCCATGTCCCTCAGCTTGGCCAGGTTACACAGCTCCACGATGGCGCTCACAACCCCGCCCTCCTCCTCCTCCTCGGAAAATTCACAGCCCATGAACCTTGCTAGCTTCTTGACGTGACTCTCCGGCGCAAGGAGCATCTCCTCGTACCTAAGGAACAACACCCTGCTGTCTGGTCTCCTCACGCTCTCCTCCCAGTACTGGAGGACATGTTGCCATTGGGGGCCATCAGGACAGCGGCCTTGGCAGAATAGCTCGAATGCCTCCTGGATCGTGAATGACTGCGCATCAACTCCCCACGCCGGCGACGCCTTCCTCGTGAACAACCAGTAAGAAACCAGAGCATCCTTGGGTTCCCGGCAGATGTATACGATCCGGCACCCTGAGCGCTCACCTGTGATGCTGTTGGGTAGCAGGGAGTAGGGAAGGTGCGTAGCTAACACACGGGGGAGGAAGCGCGTCAAACTCATTCCCTGTGTTCATACCAATTTCGAGGAACTTGACGCAGTCATGAGGGCCGCAATGGCGCAGCGGATGGTCGTCGTCGCACGGGCGGATGTGTGTGGAACGCTTCAGCGTTATGAAGGCTAGGGCCTTAAGCCAAGTGGTTCCAGACTTGGGGAAGCTTGCAAGGAACACGTCGGTGGGTCTCGGCTGGAACCTGGAATGGACGTTCGGGGCGCCTATCTTCAATGTTACCTCTGGCACCCAGAAGCCAGCGTAATGGCGGAGCCGGAACGGTGGCCACCTGATCTCCAGGGGCAGCGAAGGGATGATCTTGGCTACGTTGGCGTGATGCATTGTCACCGGCGTTGCACCTTCTTGTGCATCGTCCTCCGACTGCCTGAAAGCCATCGTGTTACTGGCCTAGTGCTGTATCTCAAAACAGACGTCACCTCCAGTTGCTTGTTGCAGCCTGCAAATGGAGACGAGGGTGCACAAAACGGATGTAATCAGAAAACCTGATCTCAGCTTAAAACAGATAACAGCAAGATGTTAACTGAGATATAAAAGAGCAACGGAGGCACACATAATCATCACCATCTGATCAGACATGATTCAATGAACATTACCACTGAAATCGATTGCATTGCAAGTCACCTAACAGTGGAGCAATACTACAGGTCCAAGTCACATTAAGAAGTACCCAGAAAGAAACAAGGCTGCACTCCGAACTGCTCAGGAAGGATCCTATCCTAGGATATAAAGCTTCAAAGGTGTTCGGAAATTTAGCACAACACTAGTTCTTGCAAAAGATTGAATTATTGCTCCAAAGTCCGAAGTACGCAAGCCGGCTCAAATGAAAGGCCAAGCGTCAAGCAGAGCAGTGAGCTGTAGTTCTGGCAATTTCTCGGCAACCCAACACTGTCCATTTGATTCAACCTTTGCAAAAACTAGCATATATATAGTGCAAACACAAGAATAGAAATCTTAATCTGCAAATACGTCTATAAAAGCATGTCCTAGCTGTGGGTACAAAATCACTTCACTATAAAATACTGTTTGACAGAGCTCCTGCATTCAGCCTAAAAGCTTATCTGGAACTTTAACAAATAGACTCTTAATGTTTTTTTAAACAATGGCAGGAGCTCTGCCGCTCAATTAAGACGAAAGAATATTATGTATCAGAAGGTTAGTCAGACGAGATGCCAAAACGCATCCGAAGGGCTAACCAACCCACACGACGCAGCTGAGCACAAACACGACACACTACCATGGGTCATCGTTGCCGAACTTGGCAGCAAAGCTGCCAGCAGCTCCGACTTCCCATGGCAGGCCACCCACTAGCCATCCACGGACGGGCCGCCACCTGTCATCATTACCAAGCTCAAACACCCCACGAAGAGCAGCTCCGACTTCCAATCACGGACCCGCACAGTGCTAGAGGGAAAGCACGACGCCCCCAACAGGGAAGCGGCGCCACTGGCGTCGCCGTCGCCAAGGCTTTCGCCCAAGAACCCTCTAGCACAAACATCAGGCCGAGAAGCTCGGACCCCTGCCAACCAGCACCGCCATCGCCGTTGTCCCGCCGCCCCACAGAAGCCCATTCAGAAGGGCATCGACGCGCCGGCTGCACGCAGCTGCCGCACAGCTACGTCGGCCGCCACCCCCTCCGAACAAGCCACGTAGAGCTGGACCTGACTCAGCTGCTCGCGTAACACCGCCGCACGTCGAGGCCATCAACGACCACCGTCGCCGGCTCTGGCACCCACCGCCGTCGCTGCTGACAACGCCGCCAACAGCCACGAGGCGCATGCCCCCACCATCACGGGCGCCGCCCTTGCCCTGGGGGCACCGGATCCAGCGCTCCATGCCGACGCCGCTGCCAGGCCACCGCCGCGGACAGGCAGCTCCGACTAGCCGCCACCCCGGCTGCTGCCGACCCCGGGCACGCCAGACCAGCCGCTGCGGGCGCCGCCCGCGCAGGCGCACGGGCCTGCATCCTGCCGCCAGCACGCCACAGGCCCGCGAAGACGACCTGAGAGCGCCGCCGGTCCGCAGCCAGGGCCCCACTCCCGCACGTCACCACCGACGGCCACAGCCAACTCCACGCGCGGGGAAGATAGATTCAGTCGAGGGGGGGCAGATCCGTGCGCGCCGAAGCAGGATCCCGGACGCCGGCTGCTGCACGCACGGGAGTTCCACCGGAGAGAGAGATAGAGAGGAGGAGGAGGAGGAGGGAGGAGAAAGAACCCCCAGCCGCCGCCATCCTTGCCTTCCGCCGGCCTCCGGCGGCGGCCAGGCAGTGGAGGCGTGGGGGCAGGGCCTAGCGGCGGCGGGAGGAAGCGACGCCCGAGTCGCCCTCAAGGAGAGAGCAACGCGGGGGCCGAACCTTGGTTGACCAGACTGCATCAAAACCCAGCTATGAACTAATAGAGTTGACGAGGCCTAGGCTGAGCCGATCGTTACAGGAACTGCATCAAGTGTCTCCAGCTTCCAATTGGCAAACCTCCCCCAGGTAGAAATGCGGGAGAGATGAGAATGACAAGAAGGGGGAACGGGAAGGATTCTGCGCACCTGGCGAGAACACACACGCCGCGACGACGTGGAGGCAGGGCCTGTCGCCGGCCGGCGAACTTCCCGCGTTTCTCCAGATGCAGCTGCAACTGCAAACCCGCAATGCTTGGAGACAGAACAGGGGGCTGGCCTGCTGAGGGCGTCGGCGGCCGCGGAGAGGTCCTCGTCCTCGCGGTCTGCGTGCTGCAATATTGTACTCGCCGCCCCCGGCCACGCTCTCTTTTTCTATTCTGCCCGTCAGGCCCAATTGGGAATCCGCGCACGCCATGAATTTATTCTTTGGTTTCATTTGGTTTGCTTCTTTTTCTTTCTTCTCTTTTTAATTATAAATGTTTTTTTACTTATTCTTTCGTGGAATACTCGTTTTGGCCAACTGCATGAATTTTACATAGTATAATGCATACTGTTTTTGTGCGACAAGATGCCACAAACTATGATTTGCAACAAAGTTATTATTATACAAATGATTTGTACATAAAGTAACTCCCGGCAGGATGGAGTCCATATTTTCCAACAATCACTCTGAAGCACAATGCTCACCATAGGTGGTATGGTATCTGCGACCAGCAAGCAGCAATACTGACCAAACTAGTTTTTTTCGAAGGGACGGCAAAAACTTTGCCGCAATTTTTATTAGACGGAGAAAATAAAAATACAAGTGTTCGGCTCAGTTTTTTTAGTGGAAACCAGGCCCAAAAACCACCAACCGGGAGAGTGCACCACTCATCCCGACCAACTTTAGAAATACCGCTCAACACCTAACGACTTTGCCCCACTACTTGCTCAAACTCGAGCCAACTTGGTCGAAAACGGCCTAACTAGCAACACAACTCAAGACCGGCAACTATCTAACAACTAAAGCAACTAAGAACATCTCAACCCTAGAACCAACTTGCCAAAACAACTATCACCGCTAAACAACACCGAGTTCCGATGAATACTTCCATCAAACCACTAATCGCTCTTGAATATTTCCCTATCACCCTTTGGTTAGCTTGCCGGTCCAGTGCCACCGATGCCCAGGATGAGATGCAAAGGTGAATCCAGTCCCTTGTAATGCATCCTCGATAACCTTGTCTATCCTCTCTCGCGCCATCTCTCGCTTCATGTGATTGCTCCGGTCCCCGTAAATCCCTTCCCTGAAGCTTTCATTCTTGATTCCCCACCTAGAGCTTCATTTCGCTCACCTCCACGTCCTTCAACTTGCCCAGCTACACGGCTCCACGATGGCATTCACCACCCCTCCCTCCTCCTCTTTCTCGGAAAACTCACAACCCATGAACTTTGCTAGCTTCTTGACCTGACTCTCCTGCTCAAGTAGCATCTCCTCGTATCTAAGGAACAAAGACCTGTCAGCCTCCTCACACTCTCCTCCCAAGATCGGAGGACATGTCGCCATTGAGGGACACTGGACAACGGCCTTCACAGGCATGCTCAAAGCCTCCTAGATCGTGAAGTCAACTCCAGCGCCAACTTCCTCGTGAACAACCGTAAGGAGACTAGAGCGTCCTTGGGTTCCCGGCAGATGTACATAATCCGACACCCTGAGTGCTCCCCGGTGATGCAGTTAGGCAGTAAGGAGTAGGGAAGGTGTGTGGCCAGCACACGCGGGGAAGGGAGCGCTTCAAACTCGTCCCTTGTGTTGAATTCAATTTCGAGGAACCTGACGATGCCGTGGGGGCTGCAATGTCGCATGGATGATCACCATCGAACGACAGATGTGTGGGACCGCTTGAGCGTTGCAAAGACGAGGGCCTTGAGCCAAGTGGTGCCAGACTTGGGGAAGCTTGCAAGGAATACGTCAGTGGGCCTTGGCTCAAAGAACGAATGGACGAATGGAAAGCCTATCTTCAATGTTACCTCGGCCAGCCAAAAGCTATCATACTGGCGAACCGAGAGCGTTGGCTACCGGTCTCGAGGGGCAACGAATGGATGATCCTGGCTATGTTTGTGTGAGGAGTCGCCATCAAATACCGCTCCTTCTTGTGCATTGTTCTCTGAGTGCCCGGAGGCCATCATCCTATTGGTGAATCTCAAAAGCGAGGTCATCGGGTGCTGCGTGTCCATCCGATTTGCTTGCTGCGACACCAAGCGTGTGGACGAGGGTGCACAAAAAGGATTGCACGAGGAAAACCTAATCTCAATTTTAGGTAACAGAGAAACCAAGTTACACTAAAAGACGATGGTACAAGTTATCATCCGATCAGAATCATTCAATGAACATCACCAAAGAAATTGATTGCATTGCAAAACAGTGGAGTAATACTACATCTCCAAGTCACATTAAGAGGAACCCGTTTAAAAAGGACAACTACAGAGTGCTCAGGCTTTAAAGGTGTTCAGAAGTTGTGCACTATACTAGTTTTGCTCAAGATTGGATTATTGCTCCAAGTTAAGGCAGGCCGACTCAAGCCAAGGTCAAGCATTAGGTTATTCTGAGCTAGATTTCTTAACCTGTCCGAGCAGTTTGTCATAAGGCACAAATGTCATTCATGCGAGCTACCAATCTGAACCTGTTTCAAGTAAGATGTATAGAGCTCGGCAGCAATTTTTGTTACTTGGCAGTGGGCACAACCAAAATCCTAATTGTTAACCTCCTGTAAATATTGCTTTAGCTATCTACTTAATGAAGCGGCAGAGCACTTGGCCATTTGGCTAAAAAAAATCCTCTTTGTCGTGACTCAACGTCAAATGAAGAACATAATAAAGTGAATTGGTCAGGTAATTTCGATGTACCCAACCGTCCCATCCGAACGAATATAGGGACTAGTACAATTATTGCTTGCAAGCGCTTAAATGATTAATGAGATATCAGAATCGCGTACGCTATTCTATTC